GACTAATTCGCCTTATTAAGAACGCCTAACGATTATAAGTTATTTACTACCTAATACTTATATATATCGAGCGTAGGTATAACGCTATCCTTAGTATCTACTTTTTAGATACTACGACGAAATAACTTAGAACTCTTTTCCTTTATATAATTCTAAATCTTCTAGATATAAGCTAAACGATTAATAGCGATAGATATTTATAACTAAAGATTTATAAGCTATGCCTAAAGCTTTAATAAGGCTTCCCTAGCTTCCTCTTTTTTAGAATATAGCCTACGCTACTCTGCTAATAATTTAGTTACTAAAAGAAATATATTAGCTACTATATATAGAAAGAATTAAAAGATACCTATAAGAAGAGGCTACTAAAATACTATTATAATAGGGACGACTACTAGTAATATAATTATTATAGCGCGAAGAATTTTCGGCTATCTAATAATTTATCTTCTTTGCTTTAAAGTATTAAGTGCACGGTATATCGGTAGGATCTCTACTTAAGTCGATATATTTAGTAAGAGTAGCGCGCTTAAAGGCTTTTTAGGAATAATTTTTTAGTATACGACTAGATATACTATTAGTAGTATATCCCGAAAGGATAAAGAGATAAGGAATAATATACTTACGTACGACGCGATAAGGGTATATTTATATATAGCGGCTAAGGTAGCTATAGTAGGTCTTACGGATAAGACTAAAAGGAGGGGAGATATCGTATTATAACTATAGCTACTAAGCCGCTAACGGTCGACTATATTAAGTACGTAATATAGTCTAATAAATAAATAGTTAGCACGACTATCTAATAGATATAGGATCGAGGGGATTATAAAGATCTAAGTAATCTAGGATTAATAAGATTACTACGCTCTATACGATCTAATATTAAGGATTATAGCTAGGCCTATAATCTAAGGATAGTCTCTATAGGTATATATAGCTACTTACTTTTACTTCTTTAGATAGATAGCTCTCTAGCTTTTAATATAGATCTTTATTACGATTTATCTTTAATTCTAATTACCTAGTTATAGTCTACGGTCTACGACCTCTAACTTATTACTAACGTAATATACTTATTATTGCTTAGACCACGCCTTATTATATCTACTAATATAAACCCCTTAATAGGTTTATCCCTTAGGAATAATACTAGTCGTTATAGTATAACTCTATATATAATAACTAAGGTTTCCTAAGGATTAAGGGAAACTCTAGTTAGGGTATTATATAGGCTATAATAAGCTTATAGTAACCGTCGACCTTTATAGCTAGCTATATAATACCCTTAATTTCTATACCTTCTATTACGCTTAAGGCGCCCTTTACTCGCTTAAGGGCGATCTTTTTTACTAGTACTTATATCTCTTATATAAGCGCCTTATTAACTATAGTATAGTACTAGTAGCCCTTATCTATAAGGGTAGCGACTAGTAAGGAGTTATTAATTATAACTTATATTAAAGTAAGCTCCTCTTTTATATAAGCGGATAATTCCTCCTTCTCTTTTACTAGTACTAGTAATTAAGGCTCTAAAACCTATCTTTACTTTAGAGCTACTCTTTCCCTTTTAGGCCTAGGGGAATAGAGTCCTTTTTATTATCTAAGGTAAAGAGCGGTTCCGTTTTCGCTACTTAGACCGCTATAGGCCGCTTAGCTAAAAGGAAGGGGCACTTTAATATAAAGTATATAGATATACTATAATATAGGTAGCGGCCGTTCGCCTTCCTCTTCTTAATTTCCTTACTTATTACCTACTTCGCCTACTACTTAGAGTATAAGATAGTATAAGGGGTAGTTAATAATAGCTTCCTACCTTACTTAGTTTAGTCTATATAAGTAGCCGATATTAAAGTATCCTTATTAGTATCGATAGTTAGCTAGTCTTCTTATAAAGGGGCGGTAATCCTATCGCCGCTATATAGTATACGCTTATAAAGCCTTTAAAAACGCAGCGTTTACTTATAGCTTTATACTACCTTTATTAACCGGCTTATATACTTACTATAGTTAGCGGGTATAATTATAAGGATAAGTAGCTCTTATAAGGCTAGCGTAATTAAGTTCTATAACTATATAAGCTTTACGCTATCTTCCTATACTATAGTTCCTACTACTTATAAGAGCGTCTCCTTAAAGTTAGGGAGGAATTCGCTAAAGGTCTACTTATCCCTCTACCTAAAGGTCTATAGCTTATCCTACGCCTTCTCCCGCTCTTATACGTTGCCGAATATATATATAAAGTATTAAAAGAAGTCCTATAGGTCGCGTTTACCCCTAGGGCCGCCCTTATCCTAGAATCTAAAAATCCGCTATATTTAGGGCTCTAGTAGTATATAAAGGAGCAAATACTACGCTATATCGCGATAGCTATTTAGGCCCTATTTCTTATTTATTATAAACTTAGTCTATAGCCGGCTAAGGAAGAAGTAAAAGGACTTAGGCTTACTATCCTAAGTCGGTTAAAGGAGTAGCTTCCGCGTTAGTAGTACCGCCGCTATAGCCGGCGTTGCGGAGGTTATAAGGGTTAACGCTAGTCTTATAGATAGCTCCCTTAGTATAGCGAGAACCTTAATCTTCTCGCTAGCCGTCGCGCCTCTAATCGCTTCTAGGATAGCTACGATACTTCCTATCCGCCTAAGGGGTAGTAGGGTGCTCCCTTAAGGAGGCGGCACCCTTTCTAAGGAGATGTCTATTAGGTCTATTAGTTAATAGCTTATACTATTATAGAGTAGGTAGAGGCGTATATATAGGTGCCGTCTATAGGATAATATTAATAAGCTATATAGAGCTCTTTTATATACGGCTAGCCCGCCCCTATATATATAGGATCCGGCCCTTAATATATAACTATATAGCTTAGGCTATAGATTAAGCCTATTACCTATAATAGTTAAAGACTCTTATAGTATCTATATATTACTTAAACTTAGGATACTTAGTAAAAGGAAATAGCTATAGGTAAAGTACTAATAGTAATATAAACTACTATTAACTTTAAAATAATTACTATAAAATACTTTTTAATATATACTATCTTAGGGTTACGCTTACTTATAATATTTAACTCGCTTATAGTACTAACTAAAACCCTTTAATTATTCTTACTATCGTCCTAAAAATAAGACTATTAAGCGGCTAGGGTGCCGTTAAAGTAGAGGTCGGGCTACTCCTAGGTAGCTAAAGAACTTTTCGAATATATAGAGGAGCTAAAAGGAGGAAATTTAGCTTATAATATCGTCTCTTAAAGAGTAAAGTATATAGTTAAGACTAAATAAATTATATAGTTAAAAGAAGTATTAGGAAAGATAGTATAATAGCTAGATAAATAAATATCTATACTAGTAGTTTAGTTTTTAATAACGCCTTATAAGTAAAGGGATAGGATAGAGCTAAGTATAAGGCGTATTATAAATAGTAGCTCTAAACTATATTTATACCCTTAATTATATACTAACTATAAACTATAGTTAAGGTACCTAGCTACCTTTATATAAATAAGAAACGAAACTACGCTTAGTACTATATAATTTATAAATCGATACTTAGATAGAGCTTAGAAGTATTATAATATCTTACTTTTCCTACCTTATAAGGTAAATTAGTAGGCTTTCCTTATATAAGGCGTATATATATAGTAAAATAAAGAGCAAAGAATAGGGCTAATAATTTAATTCGTTAATCTCTAATAAGCTCCTTTAAGGGTTATACTACCTTACTTTTATAACTACGAGATACCTCCTAGCCCTATGCTTTCTCTAGAATAGTTACTCTAGCTAGTAGTTCGAGTTAACCAGCTATCTACCGGAGTCAAGCACTTTAGGCGCGTGACACCTTAAACCCTTGCTATGGGTGGAAGCATCACTAACACGCCATCTAATAGGTCTAAGCCGGTAAAACGAATAGACCTCAGGCTATATTACTAAGTTTCCCTAATAAGAGGAGTGGCGAGTCGATTGGTCGGTTGGACCGCGTCCTGGGAGCCGCTTACTCCCATATAGGTCTTACAGAGGTTACCTTCTTCTTCCCAGGCTGATTCCGAGGAGGGCAAACGTTCCTTATTATAAGGCTTCGTACGCTGAAGGCTTCGCTATATCCCGACCTTCCCATGCATATGCATACATGTTGGCACTTTAGAAGTAAAGAGATATTAATAAGGCCAAGTTAAATCAAGAGTTCTTCCTAATCTTTATATTTGCTGCTGCTCTACACCTCGTGCGATATCAGTAACATCAGCTCGATCTCCCCGATCAAATAGCTCTTCTAGCTATTAGATCGATAGATCAGTTTCTGGAGGTCCCCGGGCCAGTAATAGTTATGCCGGACTCCTTAAAGGGTCCCCGTTCGAATAGGAGATCCTCCGGACCCCTCAGTGGTCTAAGAAGAAGAAATAACAGTCTGCAAACCTCCCTTCTTACCTGGTTTCAAGCTGTATTACCTAGAGAGACCTAGAGACCTCAACTCGTTCGGACCTCCTTCTCGACAGCAACAGTGACCTCTATAGCCTGCCGTACGTAGCCGTAGTCCTCGTTACAGAGCCGTGCCAAAGTGCATTGCAGTCTTGATCAGGCAGGGCTGCAGCCCGTCACTGCCGCCTGCGAATTCAGGCCTCACTATAAAGTGAGTGAACAAACGCACGGAATTTTTGCAGCTCTTTATACGAATCTCTCAAGACCAATCACCGAATTCGACGACAAGATGATCTCAATAGGAGGTCCTGCATGCGCTTTCACGGCAGGAAGAGTTGAATCCGTTGTCTAGCTTAGAGTACCTCCTTACAAGATCTCAATGCAGGCACAGCGAAGGAAGCCAAGAAGGTGCTTGATAAGCTAGTATACACTCAACTTGAAGAAATTCGTGCATGCTTTGCCCCAATCCGTGTCAAATGGCTCCTCGGATAGCTCACCAATTTGAGGCCATCGTGACCGTCCAACCCGGTATTTTCTGTTGAGATTGAGTAGTCACGTTCAGAGGGGACGCATCGTGAATCACCATCGACCTCAGGCCAAGTCGCAGGTCCAGATGCCGTGCTCGAAGCCGCACCCAATCTTAGAGTGCTTGGTCGAGGTGAGGAGCTCGGCATGGCTCACGGTGTTGTACATCCACCCCTTGCTCATCGATTTGCAGATGCTGCCGAGACCTGACAGGTTTGGCAGCTCGCACAACCAGCCGCCGACGAAGACGCGCTCAAAGTCGTTCTCTTTGCCAGGTGCCATGACCTGCCCTATAGACCCGGGGAAGAGATAGTGCGTCAGCTGACCGCCGCTCTGGCTGCTTGTCCGGCGGGCGTTGCTCTCGAGCTTCTGGTCGTGCTTGAGTTCCTCTAGGCTCATCTTCTTGCGCCACTTGTTGACGATGGCCATATACTCGCCACCGGTGCCGACCGAATTGTCCTCAGAGGCACTATCTTCTTGTTCAGGCGTTGGTTCGGGAAGCCGAGTCGAGCCGGAAGGTGGCGACACGTTGCCACCGTCATGGCCGGTGTCTACATTCGAGTCCCCGAATCTATCCTCGACGGTCGGGGGCTGCGGCTCGACCGGCTGCGACTCAACCGGCCGCGCTCCAGCCGAGCCCTTCAACGGAGACACAACCGGAGGGTTCGGGCTTTGAGGAATAGGACGCTTCGAGCGATCATTGCCGGACGCTTTGCTCCATTTGGAGCCATCCACCTCGTCGGGCGGGCCATCCCACGCAGTCCCGTCCATCACGCCCTTGCGAGGATTCCAATACTTGACGTTCCATTTGGCTCCGGACTCGGCTTCCGGGCGCTCATTCCAGATGGTCCCGTCCAGTTCGCCCTGTGAGGGCTTCCAACGCTTCTCATTGTTCCGTTTGGGCGTCGCCTCGTGCAGAGAGAAGGCCGCAATGAGCGGCAGCGCTAGAGTAAGGAGAGTAGTGGAACGCATCTTGTGTGTAATGAAGATGGTGGTAAAAGTAAAGAATGGGTGAAGAGAAAATCCAAGACCGAACGAAGATAACAAAGAGCGGTAGTAGTTCAACAACCAAGGAATGTAATTCAGAGCGGTGCCTTTTATAGAATCAGCCACCCCCAGTAGAAACGTGACCAAGTTGCCTTTACTCAACCGGGCCCGTCCAGTGATTGCTGGTCAGTGAGCCTCAAGGCAGTGGACAACGTACGGCTCCCCACAACTCGTTTCAAGTATCATGCCAATATGCCTCTTCCGTGTCCTATGCATTCTAGAAGCTCCCCACTTTCATTTTACTATTAAGAATAGATTGGCCATCATAGGTCCAGATAGATAGTTGGCCCAGCTCAACAAGGGCCATGGTCCTCGGGGGCGGACGGGATGGGTTTGCATGAATGCGAGAATTTTATGCCTCAGCAGCCTCACTATCTAGAACGTAGGTGGCAGATTGCTCCGCTGCCTCGAACAGGTAATATACCATAGCGGGTATTGCGTTATGCGGGCGGGCGGGGTGGTTTGGCGACTTGTGTGGTGTTGACGCATAACGTTGAGATAAAAGCAGCCATGAGAGCTCGTTTCATTCATCCATTCCATACGTACTAATTTCCGCTATCCCGGCTTCCCCTGTAGGTTTCTAGCGTCGTCAGCAACGCAGCGTGCTGCTTGTTATAGTGTAATGACGGACGAGAGCTTAGGATGCTGTTTCAAGGACCATCGGCGTCATGAGTAAGTTACAACAAGCTCACCAGGAACTCGGCGGCGAAGTAGAAAGCGAGTGTACACACACGTGACTATCGATCAACAAACGAGCCATACAAAATAAGCTAACACTGTGACCACATAGGGACCAAGCTAACGCGTAAACCGGCGTCATGGATTGGTTTATTGAAAACGTGGATAGATTTGCTTAAGTGGAGGTAGGTTGAGGAACAGTGACTCGTGAGCCATCCATTCAATCACCAGCAACATGAAGCCGAACAATATTGGCATCCAAGTTATGTAGGCCATCTGCCAAAGCTGGAAACATGAAGCACGGCGGCGATTTCATAGTCACTCCATTATGGGGGGATGAAGGCTGAAGGATTTGGGGCGGCCAGATGCGGTGGACACGAACAAATGTGCTCAGTCGGCCACGAACATAAACAGGAAGACTGGATGGTATAAGGATGGGTGTTGGAGGGAGAAGAGAGTTGGAAGCACGGAGATGATTGGTGCGCAGTCGTTGGGTTCGTGCGTAGGGTCGAGCGCTTTAACTCTATTGCATGGGTGGGCCAGTTTCATGATATTGCAAAGGTTACTGTCAGAGGGAGCAGACTGAGGGTCTAATCCGCACACGATACACGGGAATTGGCCCTGATTTAGGGCCTCCACGGGTCCCATATGGGTATCTATTCGTATAAATACCCCCTCAATGTCGCCCAAATAGATAGAAAACATATATCATCGTTTAGACTTAATTGTGCCTGCCCTTATCCTTCCGCCCGCGCTCTCAGCTTGCTGAGAGTTAGATTGGAGTCAACGCATATCGGACGATTTATAACCCCCGCTTAAGTCGGAATTAAAGGAACCGGCCCAGCGGAGTATGTTTCACGTACTCGTGCCCGCCCCCACTTTAAGAGGATTCGCTTTAGCTCACCCACTTTTAATCCCCTTAAAGTGGGGGCGGGCACGAGTAGCCTCCCTTGACAGGGTTCCTGTTAGGACAAGGGCCTATAATACGCGTTAGTAACACCTCTATCGGGGGTGCCCTTATTTTGCATAGTATAGCGGTATTTTACTAGCTTAAGAGTTATAAGCCCGGTTATAGGTCCCCGCTAGGCGAATTAGCGAGGGTTAAAAACCTATTCCGGAAGCTACGCTAGCTAGTTAGTTTATTATTCGACTCCTAGGGTGGTTATAATACGCTATAGGTAGCTAATAGCCTAAATTTAAAGAGTTAAGGGGGTTACTTGTACCTCCTTAACTATATAGGAAATCCTATCTATTTACTAGATAAGGCCCTATTAGTCTTATAGGTAGCTTGCTAGCTCTATAAAAGTTATAGCTATTATTACGGGCTACGCCCGTAGAGGGCTAAGGTTATATTATAGCGACCGTACTAAAGTCGGGCTAAAGTAGACCTACGTATGGATAGAGCTCGACCCGAACTTAGGCCGAATAGCACCCGAATATAGGTCGAGCTAGGGACTAAGGAAGATAGATAGCCGTTACGACTAGGATAGAGTTTTCCTTCTTTCTCCTTAGCTTTAAATAAATAATTATTCGGCCCTATACTACTATACTAAGTATACGCCGGCCCCTTAATATATTTAAAGCTCCTTTTAAATAAGGCTATAAAGCCTAGAGAGAGATCGGACCTAAAGGATATAATATAGATATCCCGATAACTTAGAGGGAGGAGAATAGGCCTAAGGACGGCCGGGAGTAGCGATAAGAGGGCCTAACGCCCGGCTAATAATAAAGTAAGCGATACTCTTACTATAAGTAAGAGAGGTAAAGATAAGGTATTAAGTAATATAGAGCTAACTAAAGATATAGGAACTAATTAGCTAGATTAAGAGGATATATTAAAGGATAAATAAACCGATAAGGATAGGTATATAAAAGGGGGCTAAGGGCGAGATAAGTAGTTTAATACCGCCCTTAAGGGCGATAAGGGGGGCAGCGATACTAATAACTAAGGTAAGAATAATAAGGAAGAATATCTATAAGAAGCCTCTCCTAAGCCTAAGAAAATTTAACGGGTAATAAAGGCATTATACCTTATAAGTATAATATATATAAGAAAAGTATAAGATCGATAAAGAATTCTTCTTAAGCTTAAAGGAAATCTTTTACCTTATTTATAACTACTTAGACGCTAGGCTATAATAAACGGTCGCTATATACTATAGAATAAGGGCGGAGAGGGGCTATAATTAATAGGAATTCTTAAAGTACCTCGACTTAATATACTTTAATATAGATATCTAGTTATATATAGCGGCGGCGATCTAGATAATAAAATAAGGGGAGAGTTAAACGTTTATAGCGTTCCTCCTAAAGTTTAAGTAGAGACTCTTTAAGGCTAAAAAGGGGTCCTAGCTATATAACGTTTAGATCGTCTTCCTAGAGGGGGCTCTAGGAATCTAGCTCTACGAGGCGTTAGCTATAATTAACCTCCCTATATTAAGCTTCGCCGCCTATACTAATTAAGTAGCGTAAATAGCGGCTAAGCTAAAGAGGGTCTAGTAAATAAGATAACCCCCCTTAAACTAAAGGAGACTAGTAGATATATACCCTTAAGAAAGGAAAGATAAGGATAGTTTAACGGGTAAGATCGCACCCCTATAGATATTAGCCCGTTAAAGGGATAAGACCCTTAGCGCCCCCCCCCCCTTTTCTTACCTCCTTTAAAGTATACTTAAAGGCTTTATAAAGACCTTAATTATCTAATTAAGTATCTTCCTTAATTATAGTTAATTTAAAATTTTTGTTTTTCCCCTTTAAAGTAGAGGCCGCTAGTTACGCGACTCTAGTAGAGATAAAGAGGTATAGAGTAAAGAAATCTCTAAGACTTATATTTATAACCTAAGGCCCTTAGAGCTATATATAGGACCGATAATTAGATAATTATATAGTTAATTGCTCTACTAATCCTTAGCTATATACTACGCGTGCTTTAGGTATATGCCCTCGTCCCCGTTAAAACTAGTCTCTAAGGCGTAAACTCGTTGTTCCGTTTTATTTATATAGCGACGAGTAGCTTTACGAAGCCGAGAATACCCGGAGGACGATAGTACTATTTAGAAAAAATAAAATCTAGGGATTTAATAATTAAAGTAGCAACTTATAAGGAACGGTGTTCCTACTATAAATAAAGCAGCTATAATATACTCTCCCGATTATATAAGCTAATAAGTAGTATATTAATTATAGACAAAATCTTATCCTATAGAGCAAGAATCGCTCGTTATTTTGCATGTTATTATGCATTAAACGGGTTGCCGGTTATCGTACAATCGGGAATCGAAGGAACAGAGCTAGCTTAGAATGCTAGCTAAGACCTCTTAAGAACACCGGCACGACCAACCTCCTCTAAACACAAATATCAGTGGAACCAAGACACTTCTAGATTCACTCGAGATATCACGGAATTCCCTAGTCTTAGGGCTATACGGCAGCCTAAATCTGGTTCCGAAAGGTTCTTCCGTTCAGCTACAATTATCTATATAAGACAGCATGTCCGCTGGTAGATAGATAGAGAATTATTAACTTTAACACCTCTTCCATACACTAATACACTACTAATAAATTCCGTTGAAAATCCTACCTTATACTCCTTCTTCCCCTCTATTACGTAGTCTTACGTGATTCCTTAATTTCCTAAAATTCCGCTTTTGCTTATATACCTTAAGATAACTACCTTAATAGCTAGAGTTAGGGACCTAATAAGGCGATAGACTTACCGGGAAATAAATAATTAGATAATGCCTTCGCTAGTAGTAAAGGAAAAGTAATAAGCTAATACTAAAAAACCCTAAGCTCCTATTATCGGCCCTATAACCCCTAATACTAGCGACTTAGTTAAGAAACTATAATCCTTATATAATACTTTAAAAGATATAAATAATAATAATAGCGTAATCTAGACCGTTCTAGAACCCTACCGAGACCTCTTACTTATATACGTACTAATAATACTAATATAGGTATTAACGAGGGATACCTTAATAACCTTAACCTTAGCTCTCCTTTACGTAGTAGCTTATAGAGAACGCTTACCTCCCGCTAATAAATAAGAAAGTAAGTAATAAGATAGTTATAATAAGATATCCTTTAACTCTAAAAACTCTAACTCTAAATTTCGTAACCTTATAATCTACGGGTATACTATATCTAGAAACGTTAGCTATTAAGAGGGATTATCTAATCCTACTACTAGCGATATAAAGAAAATTAAGGTAGATATTAATAAGATTACTAATAGACTTAAAGAT